GGGCCTTCACACTGCATCCCGGCCCCCGGGGCCTTCACACTGCATCCCGGCCCTCTTTTATTTTGCTTGTAGGGTCTCACTAACTCGCTGAGCCAAAAAGCTGTGCACGCCGAGACGGCCCTGAGCGAGCTCTGGTGAGCTCCGGCCTCTGCGGAGCTCGCTGAGGGAAGGGCAGGGCTGTCGGCCACCTGGCTGCAGCTGCACGTGCACCCCCGCACGGAGCCCATCTGTCCGTCCTGACCGTGGGACGCTGTGGGGAAATCTCGGTCCATCACTATGTCACAGGAAAGAAACGTCAGTGGCCACACATCAAATTAGACTCCAAAAAATTCATTCAAAAGCACTAAACAAACAAATAAACCACTGCCACAAACAGCAAGCACAACTATAGGGGAGGAGGGAGAATGTGACTTCTTAACTTGCTACATTATAACGTTCACAACACTCAGTTGCAAACTATGAAGGGTGCATCCAGGCAAGGTCACATATGCCTGTAAACCCAGGACTGGGAAGGCCGAGGCAGCAGGATCTCGGTGAGTTTGAGGTCCGCCTGAACTACATAGCAAGACCCTGTCTCAAAATATAAAAAAAAGGAAAACACCCTGAGAATTGATGACTAAGTCTGTCCTACAAGAAACACTAAAGAGAATCCTTCAGGTTAGAATAAAAAGGAAATAGACAATTACTAGAATCCCATGAAGAAATAACACCAGTAACAATAAGTGGACAGGACAGTATTAATGCATCTCAGGTTAGTAACTCCTCTTTTTCATTTGGATCCACAGGACAACTATACAAAACAGTACCATAAATCTGTGTCCTTGGCCAGACAACACACAAAGCTGTAATCTGTGACAGTGACAACATAAAGGCGAGAGAGGGGCTGGGGATTTAGCTCAGCGGCACAGTGCCTGCCTGGCAAGTGCAAGGTCATGAGTTCGGTTCCCGGTACCAGAGAAAAACCAAAAAAATAAAAAATAAAAAAAAATAAAGGCGAGAGAAGATGGAACTATACCAATACAGAGTTTTTGTGCACTACTTAAATTAAATTGGTACTGAACCCAGTGTGCTGGCGCACGCCTGTAATCCCAGCGCTCAGGAGGCTGAGGCAGGAGGACCGCCACGAGTTTGAGGCCAGCCTGGGCTACATGGTGAGTTCACGGCCAGCCTGAACTACACAGTGAGGCCTTGTCTCAAAAAAAAACAAATAATAATAATAATGAATATATAAATAAATAAAATCGGTACTGATCCAAAGTAGTTACAGATTAAGATACTAACTGTAATCTGCAGGATAGTTACTAAGGAAAAAGAACTAAAAAGTACACAGAAAAAGGAGGAAATCAAAACTAATTACACTAGAAAAGGAAAAAATACAGTCAATGATAAAAGCAGGCAGTAATGGAAGAACTGAGGAACAAAAAATACCAGACCCAGCGAAACTAAGTGAACCATGGAGAAAGAGATCCCACACAAACAGCAGTCCAGAGAGCTGGGATGGCTGCGCTGACATTAGACAAAACAGACTACAAACAAAAACTGTTACAAGAGACCAAGAAGGCTGCAGCAGGGCCTTCGTAAAGACGCAGCAAGCTACACACACACGAGGGGAGCAAGGGGAGAAACAGTGCAGCACCACAAGTGGAGCCCCAACGCCCCTGCCAATACCGCGCTGAACAACCAGCAAGAGGGTAAGGAGAGAAGCCCCGAGCCACCCGTGAGCCGGCCGGAGTGCAGAGCGGGCCCGCAGGGGCACAGGCGCACTCTGCCCGTCCAGTACCAGGCCTAGACAGTTCCCCTGCCAAACCCTATCAAAAGCTTAAAGAAGCATTAACACCTGCTGACTCGAACTCTGCCCGAAAACCTGAAGCAGAAGGAACATTTCCTCCCTAACTCATTCTCTGAGGCCAGCATGATTCTCACAGCAAGGCCAGACCAAAACATCCTCAAAAAAAAAAAGAACTACAAACCAGCATCTATCATGAATACAGATGCGAAAGTCACTTTAAAAAATGAATAGTCAGGGGCCAGGGATATAGCTCAGCGGCACAGCACCTGCCTGGCAAGCACAAGCTCCTGAGTTCCATTCCCAGTACCAAAAAAAAGAGCAGTTAGGTGTTGTTATGCACCCCTATAATCTCAATGCTTGGGATGCTGAGGCTGGAGGATCTGTGTGAGTTCAAGGCCAGTCTGAACTACACAGCAGGACCCTGTCTCAAAAATTAATAATTGCTGGGTGTGGTGGAACACACCTGTAATCCTAGCACTTGGGAGGCTGAGACAGGAGCGTTGGCACAAGTACAAGGTCAATCTGGGCAATATAGTGAGCTCAAGGCCAGCCTACACTACATAGAGAGACCCTGTCTCAAAAAAACAAAAAATAGTAACAATAAAACATTAGCAAACACATTAGCAAAACACATCCAACAGCATATTCAAAAGATACACACCATGAACAGATGGGATTTATCCTAGGAACACAGGGTGGCTCAAGACCTAAACAAAACAAAAACCTAAGCACCAAACTGAAATACCGCATCAAGAATAAAGAAAGTATGTGATCACTTTAAATGATGGAGAAGGGGCTGGGGATTTAGCTCAGGGGCATAGCGCCTGTCTGGCAAGTGCAAGGTCATGAGTTCGATTTCCTGGTACCGGAAGAAAAAAAAAAAGATGGAGAAAAAACACTGAACAGGGGCTGGGGATTTAGCTCAGCGGCACAGCATCTGCCCGGCAAGTGCAAGGTTATGAGTTCAATTTCCGGTATTGGAAAAAAAAAAAAAAAACACTGAACAAAATCCAACACTCTTTCATGATGAAGCCACTCAACAAACTAGAAGGCAACTTCCTCAACAAGATAGAGAGCATGTATGAGCCCGGTGTGCTGGCTCCTAGCTGAGGCAAGAGGATCTCACGATTGAGGCCTGCCTAGGCTACTCAGCAGATGCAGTCTCAAAACAAAATAAAATGTCTATGGGTGTAGGCCTTTGGCAGGGCATTTGCCCGACATTTGTGAGGACCTGGGTTCAATCCACAGCGCCAAGGAGACAAAAGGGTATCTACAAAAACCCCACAGCTAACATCAGAATAATGATGACACCTAGATGCTTTCTATATAAACCAGGACCAAAACAATCATGCTGCGGAAAGTACTAGCCAGGGCGATTATACAAATGAGAGAAGCAGGCATCAAAACTGGGGAAAGATGCTGGGCATGGTGGTGCACGCCACTAATCCCAGCACTCAGGAGGTTGAAGCAGGAGGATCGTTGCGAGTTCAAGACCAGCCTGGGCTACAAACTGAGCTCGAGGCCAGCCTGAACTGTATAGCGAGACCCTGTCTCAAAAAGACAAAACAAAACAAAACAAACAAACAAAAAAAAAACACCTGGAAAAAGTAAAGCTATCATGGATTCACAGACAACACGATCTTACATAGAGAAAACCCTGAAGCACCTATACTACAGCTAATATAATGAGCATGGTTGCAGGATAAAAGACCAGCATACAAAAACCAGTTGTAGCCAGGCATGGTGGTGCATGCCTGTAATCTCAGCACTCGGGAGGCTGAGGCAGGAGGATCATAGCAAGTTCGAGACTAGCCTGGGCTACAAAGTGGGCTCAAGGCCAGCCTGAACTGCATAGCGAGACCCTGTCTCAAAAAGACCAAAAAAAACAAAAAAAACCCAAAAAAGCAAAAACCAGTTGTATTCCTATACACTAGCAATATGCAATCCAAAGTGAAATTAAGAAAACAGTTCTACCTGCAGTAGTAGTGAAAATAATAAAATGCTTAGCAATAAATGTAACTTAAGAAATGCAGCACTTATACCAGGAAAACTACCAGACAATGTTGAAAGATTAAAAACCACATTTACAAAAGCAGCACAGTGGGTCTACATAGGGACTCTACTCTAAGAAGCTTGTCATCTATTTTCCACAACTCTCATAGCCCAGGGAGATAACGAAACATGGTAGGCCTAACAAGAATTACCTTGTCTCATTCACACTGCCTTCGGGAACAAAAGCAACCTTCAAGTGCAGCAGAACCGGCTTGGGAGCAAACCCTAGAGTGTATTATTTTCCTCATGGTAAGGTGGAAGACAGCTGCAACAGGTTTGTAAGGATGTTTTAAAAAGCAAAAAACGAGGGGCTGGGGAAATAGCTCAGCGGCAGAAGCACCTGCCTGGCAAGTCCATGGTCCTGAGTTCAATTTCTGGTACCAAAAACAAACAAAAAAAAAACCACAAAAAAAAACGAGGCCCAGAAAACCAAGCATTTCCATGCATCACTTCCTCATCTTTAGGCTTGCAATGGGAATGCACTAAATCCTCCTACCCATCCAAGTATTTACCAGCATGCACTATGCACCAGTGTAAAGTGGGAGGTGGTTCGTCTCATCATCATAACCCTACACCTACCAGGGGAGCCGAAACACGTTTATCCTGGTCACCCCTCTCCTGGCCATCCACCCAGCAGGAGCCTATACCCTAGAATGCAGTTCTCTGTACCTCATCTGACTTGTGCTCCTTCCACTATGATCCATAAATCATGAATAAAGTGGAGTTCGGCGAAATGCAGGGGAGAAAGAGGAGAGAACCACAAGGCATTTAGGTAATGAAAAAATGGACAGAGTACACCACTCTGAGCCTGGAGGGTTGTAAGAGCTCTGAACTTAGCTGGGAGTGGTGGCTCACGCCTGTAATCCCAGCACTCGGGAGGCTGAGGCAGGAGGATCATAGCGAGTTCGAGACTAGCCTGGGCTACAAAGTGGGCTCAAAGCCAGCCTGAACTGCATAGCGAGACCCTGTCTCAAAAAGACAAAAAAAAAAAAAAAAAAAAAAAGAGTCTAAGTTTGGTGCAGAGCTCTTTCTCACTTGAAAGAAATCCTGTTTGTATTTTAAACTTGGACATCCACAGCGGCGGTGCAGGATCCCTCCATCCATGCATCCACCATGAACCCCCATTCATCCCTCCGCCCATGCATTCATCTATGAATATCCATGAATATCCATCCATTGCTCCACCCACCATGAACATCCATCCACCAAAACATACACGCATGCTTCCATCCCTCCACTCACCATGGACATACACTCTCCACGCATCCGCTCACACTAAACATCAGTCCATCCCTCCATACCCGCACCACCACGAACACTCATTCATCCTTCCACCCAGCATGTCCTATCCATCCGTCCCACGGCAACTCTGCACGGCTCGTCCCTAAGCCAAGGGCCATGTGCCCCGCACGCTCCAGGTTTCCTCGGAGCGTCCCGTGCGCACTGCTGCTTCCCCGCACCCCGTCCTCCCGTCGACAGCGCCCGCGGCCACTGCGCGCTCCCGGGCACCGCGAACCCCGCACCGGGCCGCGGAAGAGGGCGCGGCCGGGCCCGCACAGCCCCCAGGCGCTCCTCGGCCGGAGCCCGGGGCCCCACCTTTGTGCTCCGCGTCGCTGTCCGCGTCGCTGCCGAAGAGGTCCTCCATATCCGCCATAGCACCGCACCGCGGCCACCACCACCGCCGCCGCCGCCGCCGCCGGGGCCGCCTCGCCGCTTTTTTTGGCTCGGAGCTGATGTGACGCGACAGTGTCGCAAAGCCCCACGGGCGGGACTACTTTCCGGCCGTGATCAACTTCCGGTTCCGGGCGCCAGGGAGCCCCGCCCCTCGCCGGCGTCCCCTTCCGCCGGGCACTGCTGTCAGCTGGGAGCCTAGGTTTGGGCTCTGGTCCGCTTCCCTGTAGTGGAAGTTGTGAGGGAGACCTCTCCGTTGACGTGGGCGACCGCTATTGATAATTCCCCGTGTTCGTGATCGAAGCAGATTTCTTTGATTTTGGTTTAATTTAGTTGTTGAGTCAGGTCCCCTGTGAGCCAGGCTGGCTTTGAACTCACCAAGTCGCCCAGGCCGGCCTGGAACTGGAGATCCTCCTGCCTCAGCGTCCCTACTACAGGTGTTCACCACCACTCCAAGCAGATTTTATTTTTTATTAAAACCACTGTTTTCATGTTGCAACTAGTTCATACAGACTGTAACGTGTGATTGGAACATCTTGACAGTGAGACAGGATGACACCATGTGAGCTGGTGCCGGTTGAGCAGAGGGGAGGGTGGAGTGGACACTGCTTTCACGGGCGGTTTTTCTGTTTGCTTTTTATTGGTTCTCTAGAGCACTGGGGAAAAAATTCTCCCAGAAGCATACAGTCCCCCCTTTATTTCCATTTTAAGACACGTTACCCTCATTGGTCCGTTGTGCAGCACACAGTAATCACACTTATTGTCACACAACAGACCTCAATTCCCTTTTCTTCCCTTCCCCTGCTCAAATGGGAATTTACTTTTTTAAAAACATATTAACAAAAAAAAATTTAAAAATATGTTAACGAATAGCTTTCTTTAGTTTAATTTTTGAATTTTTTCAAGAGAAGTTCTTGCTATGTAATTCAGTCTGGCCTTGAACGAACCATGTGGCCCAGACTAGCCTCAAACCCTCGGCAGTCCTCCTGCCTCAGCCTCCAAAGTGCTGGGGTTAGGGCATGTGCCACCACCCTGGCTAGCTTTCTTTAGTTTTAAATGACTATATTTTTAAACCAAAACTCTAGAAGGCTGGGGTTAAGGCAGGGAAGTGCTTAGGCTGCCATCCTTGCGGAAGCCAAGTGGGGACTCCGGGACTCTGCGGTGACCTCCTCCAGTGCCATCCAGAGCAACCTCAGGAGGGCCCTGTCCTCACCAGCTGGGCCCTGAGGAGGTCCCGGAGGAGTGAGGGGACACCAGCAGGTGTTGTGATGCTTCTTACACAACGTGTACAGGCTGTGAGCTGCGGGCCCAATGTGGGAGAAAAGCAGTGGATGGAAAGGGGCAGAGGCCGGCACAGGCGCAGGACACTGGCCTGGAGGAACGGGGACCCAGCCTCCTGAGGACAAGCCCTGGGACTCAGGCCTGTCAGGGAAGAGCTGAGGCTCCTGGGGCCCAGGTTCAAGCTCCGGCCATCCCCCAGCACCCAGGCACAGTTCCCTGTCCCCCTCCGGGGGACAGCAGCGGTGGCACAGGAAGGGAGCTTGGGTCAGAATACATAGAGAGGCTCTGGACCCGCCCTGCAGGGCCGGACGGGAACTTGGGGGTTTTCCGAGTGGGAGAGGAGACCAGGACCGGTTGCTGGGGTGTGGCAGTCCTGGGGGAGTGCCTCCCGTGCTGGCGTGGCCCAGCCGCCCACCTGGAGTGCCAGGGTGACCTGAGGGGTGTCCCATGGTGCGTTCAAAGCCAGTCCCACGCTGTGATCTGTCCTGGAGGCCCAGCCCGCCGGTTCTGAGAGGCGCTCGCACCAAGTTCCAAACACCCGCCTCTGGTCCTGTCGGTCCTGGAACCTGGGGCAGCTTCAGAAACGAGGCTGGAAGGCAAGGCTCACAGAGGACGTGAGGTCAGACCGCGAGTGGACAGGGAGAGCCAGGCGGGACGGGCCCCTGTGAAGGGCTGTCACAGACAGCAGGCGGGGGCAGACCCCTTGCACCGTGCTGAGGCGCGGGGCACAGCCAAGGGGTGGGCAGCAGGGCTATGGTGTGCATACTTCCGGTTCCCACCTTGACGTCTGCATGTGGCGTTTTATTTTTTATTTTTTATTTTTTTGGTTTTTCTCCTGTACTGGGAACCGAACTCACGAACTTGCACTTGCCAGGCAGACACTTTGCCGCTGAGCTAAATCCCCAGGCCCTCGCATGTGGCGTTTTAAAAGGACATTTTTCAGTAAGTGGTACATAAAAAAATTGTAATTAACACACTAAAAGCTAAGCAAACAGAAACCAAGGCAATTATTAACTCCACAAAAAAAACTAAATGAATGTCTATCTGCTCCCTTTTGTGGCTCAGCTGCTAATGACATCTATAGTAGCTTGTTCAAAGCAATTTGTTTTGTTTCGTTTTGTTGAGATGGTTGTGCTATGTAGCCCAGGCTGGCCTTGAACTCATGGCAATCCTCCTGCCTCAGCCTCCTGAGTGCTGAGACTACAGGTGTGCACCACCACCCCCTGCTCAAGGCACTGTTTTAAGGGCTTTTTAGGAGCAGGGCCTCAGCCTTTGCCCACAACTCCATGGCCAAACGTGTTTATAGGTTACATTCCTTGGATTTCAGGAAGGGATACAGAGCCTAGGCTCTACTGCTTACTACGCCCAATGGGGGCTGAGCAGTCACCTGTAATTAGAGTAAAATCTCTACGGTACAATGTATGAACGTTCAAACCAAGAGAGACAAGGAAAACTTTAAACAGCTTTAGGGAACTTCAGGTCAGCATCAGCCCCCAAATGGCTTAGGAAGAACTTCCAGTTTCTGAGATTTTTGGACTTGAGCTTGTGGGTGAGGGTTGTGGTGCACAGTAGGACCCTGTGAGCCTGGTCCGGCCACTCCCCAGCGACACAGAGGCCCCGCCTGTCACACCCTCACAGCCGGCCAGACCTGCTTGCTGCAGCCAGGCGGGTACTTTGCATTCTCACCAGGGGAGGGCTGGTTGGTACAGACACACACCCTCGGCTTTAGGAACAACCTGTCACCCGGAGCCAGGTCGTTTGTGCCAGGGAATAAAGGTTCAGTCCAGACAGACAGCCCAGGAGGAGCCCAAGTGGAGTTTATTGTAGAACAGACACAGAGAGACTCACTGGAGTTCTGAGGTCTGGGCAACTGGTGATTATCATGCTTATCCATGCTTTTGAGAGGTTTCTTCAGAATTTTTTTTTTTTTGGTCTTTTTTGAGACAGGATCTCGCTATGCAGTTCAGGCTGGACTTGAGCTCACTTTGTAGCCCAGGTTGGTCTTGAACTTGCAGTGACCCTCCTGCCTCAGCCTCCCAAGTGCTGAGATTACAGGCGTACGCCACCACGCCCAGCCTAGGTTGGTTTTGTGGGAGGTTTTAAAAATTGTTGTTGTTTTAGTTTGTGTGTGTGTGTGTGTGTGTGTGTGTGTGTGTTCGAGAAAGGGTCTCACTCTGTAGTCCAGGCTGACCTTGAGCTCATGGAGATCCTCCTGCCTCAGCTACCAGAGTGGTGGGAGTACAGGTGTGCCATGGCCAGCAGTTCCAGCTTTTAAATTTCCATTTTGCCAGGCCCGTTACAAAGCTGTCGGTGAAACCTAAATGTGCTGGGCATGGTGGTGCATGCCTGGAATCCCAGCAGACCTAAGCAGGAGGATGGGAAATTTGAGGCCAGCCTAGGCTAGCGTTCAAGGCCGGGCCACTCTGGACTTGTAACGAGACCCTGTCTCAAAACCAAAAACGCAAACAAAAAATCGAGCGTGTGTGTGAACAAGCTGTTTTCCCAGCTGAAATTCAGAAGGCTACTTGAACGGAACGCTGATGACCTCTGGAAGTTTTCAGGGAGCCCAGGACAAAACGACTAATTAATAAATTTAATTAATTAAATAGAAGCTGTTATTATTTAATATAATTAAACGTACGCCGCTCTCCAAAACAGTAGCAAACCCTTCCCTTCCCTAACCGAACCCGCCGTGCGAGGCTCAGCGTGGCCGCAAGCACTGCAGAGGCGCGTGCGCGGAGACCCTGGCAGCCGGGAAAGGCGCCGGGCGGTTCCTACGGAAGCCGCGTCGGCACACACTCTCCGTGCGGGCGCGGACTGAGAGCTGCTTCCGGGACTGGGTGGGAGAGGCTGCGGGCTGCGGCCGCAGTTACCCGCGCCTGTCCTCGGACGACCTCGCAGCTGCTTGGCGGTCAGGAGGCGGGGCGTGGGCGGGCCCTCAGGGGCGGGGCCTCGTGGTGGGCGGGGC